CTAGCCTAATTATGAGCCCACCCCTTTCACGCACTAGTTGCTTGCTTGTTAGTAGCTGTCCTGTCGCGCTAACCAATTTAATCTGACAATTTCACCTCCTCCCCTGTTTATTTTGTCTGACGACGGGTTGGTGTCACCAGCTCGAAAATTTACGAGTACAACTTGTTTTTTTCCAACGAGCCGTCTTCTATCTTATACATACGAAACTTTCGGCTGTTTTGGGAGGGCCATAATCGAAGCTCTCCTGTTAATGATAATCATTCATTTTTTAAACACCAGCTGATAAGGTTTGTCGAAGAGATAACCTAGACAAGTAAAAAAAACTACTGACGGTTCGACTGTCGTTGCCGGAGATGTCCACCGTGTGCTCCACAGCTTGGTGAAGCAGACACGGTGACTTGCGTGTGATTTAGTTTATAATGAATGTAGCCCTGCACAACGTCTACCGCACTCTTTCCTCCTCCCCTGCATGGACCCGGTGTCAAGACAGAGTCAAGAAGACAAGAGGCGGGGGGAGGGCGCAAGTGAATGGCACGGTTGAGGCCACATCTTGGAGTTTCACTCCACACCCCTGGTTCACATAACAAATAACCAGGTTTTTGACCAAGAACAACATAGGGAATGGAGGCTGTCACAGCCGAAGCTACACCTAGGCGTGCCGCCCACGCCCGGTTCTGATCCCACGGGGTGCCGGTGCCACAAATGCCACATCAAGAAGGAGTTATTGCAGCCACCAGTCGACTGCTCCATACAAACACGCAACACTGGGCTGATTGTGAGGTCCGAGTTATACCGTCAGTTGGCAACCTTCCAAGCCGCGGCTTTTAGCGCACCATGATAGCTTCAAGCGCGTCAGGTTGTTTAAAGTGAGAAAAATGCGCTGAGTCGTCGACTTCACTCTCCCTTCCCTTTCCCGGGACCCAGCCACTGTCCGAGCTGGTCAGTTGACAAGTGTGGGGAATGGATGCGGTGGCCGACATATCTAGTGACGTTGTCTGCGCGCGCCACATGCACGGCTTGGCCCCCCAAGCACAAGCACCAGGATTTCACACAACGGGGGTTGAGCGGCGTACATCTCGCATACGGGAGAGTGTCGTAGGGCACGTTAGGAAGGGGCCGCTTCAGCCTGGCTCTCGGCCCATCAGTCAGCCATTCAACACAAACACACCCACACAACTGGGCAGACTGTGTGGACTGAATTTGGGCGTCATTCAGTAGCCTTCCATGCCATGGCGCTTGAGGCGCCGTGATAACTCCAGGCTCGAATCACACATGCAGCAAAGAAGCAGCATAGAGACGAAGCCGAGACGCACACTTTCCACTTAAGTCTGACGTGGCAATTGGATGATTGTGGTGAATGCTGATGCTGCGCGATGTAGGCGGGGGAAGGTGTGGTGGTGGGGTTTAGCCGGCGTTTGTCTACCGCAGGATTTCGTGAATGTGCATGTGGTCTAATAGACCCATGCTGTGGGTTAATGTGGGGGTGCAATGGGGACAGTTGAGGGAGGTGCGGCGAGTGTATGTTGGTGCTCCAGGCACGCCAGTCTCTGTGCAATGGATTCGTAAGTGACCGAGCAGGCCGATGCGTGAGATGAATGTACGCGGACAGTGTGGACAGGATAAGTCGGTGGTAACAGTGGTGGAGCTGTTGAAAATGGACGCGCAGGGCTGTGGGGTGTGGGTTGAGCTAGGTATGGTGGATGTGCGGGAGGTGCTAGGTGTGTCGAGACTGCGGTCAATTCAGCTCGCGTGTATACGCATTTGACCGAGTTTACCCATGCGGTGAATTAATGTGCGTGGGCAGTGTGGACAGTGCGGGTGTATGCGGCGGGTGTAGGTTGGTGCTCCATGCCCTGGTTCGCCAGTCTCTGTACGAAGGATTCGCAGGTGACTGGCCAGACCGACGTGTGAGATGATGGGGCGGTCGCAATGAGGACAGGTATAGACCAGATCCTCATCGCTGGTGTTGACGGTGGTGGCGTTGGTGTTTGTTGCTGTGTGAGGATTGTGTGCAATAATCATGAGTACAGGAGCCACCGTAACGGATTTTTAGGCAATGGAGGAGTAGGAGTAGGAGGAGGAGGAGGAGGAGGAGGAGGAGGAGGAGGAGGAGAAGGATGGTAGTGGGGATATCGTACAGCTATTACCCTAAAGTGCGCCTAATGCGCAGTATTAAATGATGTCAGGGCGGTTACCCTCAGCAGTTGATAAACAGCCCTGTGGGGATGAAGCCAGTAATGTCGCGGCAGCTTAAGCTATCGGCAGATTCTATTCACTTCTACATTCAGACCCGGTCCTGAATAGAAAGAGAGGTTGGACGTAAGTAGAGCTAGCACTGTATTCTTATGGAATGGATGGGAAACAGGATGGAGCAATTTAGCAGCCGGACGAGGGCAAACGTCTATCGTCGCCGGAGCAAGCGTCCCAGTGCCACGGGACAGGAGTCAGATCGTCTTGAGAGAAGGCATGATTGTGTCGGCCTTGAAGTTTATAGGCTTGTTTGGGCAGTTGCGTTTGGCCGAGAACCAGACTGCCACTGGTACGTGTGCGTAGTTTAGAGACGGAACGGGTCGAAGATTAACAGTTTTCGCAATATCTTTGTACTTATACAGCCACTCTGTTGTGCATTTACAATCTTAGAACGGAGCCTAAAAGTAAACATAATTATCGAAAATGGCTCCAATATAAAGAGGAAATCGGCTTCTTCCATATCCAACTTAAAAACTATCACTAATTTCCTGGGAAAAGATGAAGCCGAGCAATCGTCCCAATTTTTATCATGGCTTAACCTTGGAGAAATGTAAAGTATACAGCTATCCGTCAGCGAAATACCTAATTAAAACTCTTTGAAAGTTTTTGATTGGTTTAAAGGATAGTATGGTAGAGGGGCGCTCACCAATCTCTTCTAAGGAACTCACTCGTCCCGTTGTGCCTTACGGGCTCTCTCTCGTGTCCAACGAGCAGTCGCATAGCGGCGCATGATATAGGCAGAATGGTATTTCCGACAAAGGCAAGGAAGACTGGAATGGCCATTTCTGGCTTACTAGCCGTCGTCAATCAGTCATACCCAACCCCGAAGTGTGGAACATCCGAGGTTCGGACTCGCGACCTGTTCGCAACCACCCTTCCGGGCTGGACATGACTGACTGACGCCGGCTAATAAGCCAGAAATGGCCATTCCGGTCTCCCTTGTCTTTGTCGGTAATGTCAGTAAAGGGTATTGATTGCCGACTTTCGTTGTGAACGTCCATTTTCCTCGGCGATAAGTTTCAAGTTTTGTGTGAGCCTACAAATATGACCTAAACGGCCGTTTGCGTTAGAAAGACTTCTAAGAACTCAATACGGTGGTAAATACTTTCAAGAAGTGTCTCATTTTGGAGGTTTTGATAAACACGTACAGTGGAATCTAAATTTATGGGCGGCCAACTGAAAACACTGAAAATCGTGAAGCATGCACTACCATTTCAAGAATGACGTGAAACTCATCCTGTTCCAGCATCAGATATTACTATAAAGAAATTTGGCGAGATGAAGTTTTCTTAATATACACAGGACGATGTGTTCACGATTGCATCTGACAATTCTGTTTACATTTATTAGTCACTAACTGACCTATCAACATGTGGTCTTTTGAGAAAATTTATTGCTGTGACGTCCCTATCGGCGAAGCCAGACGAAAACTTGCTTGCTTTAGCAAACTGCACTTCAATGTAAAAACAAGAAAAAGAGCCAACTCTTAAAACACCGTGTTGCAATCTAAACTCAAACTGTAGACCGTTGGCTAACTGCCATATTTGACATTGCACTTATTTGTTTGGGATACCTATGCATTAATTTCACTAAAAGGTTGTTTTCAAACGTTATTCTACGTGTACAGTTTTATTTACTCGGCTTTTTTACATTTAAGGCTTCCTGCGCATCGAACACTTAAGTTTACTCAACTGCAAATATTTTTGACTTTTTCCGACATTTCCGCCTTTCTAAAAAAATTTGCATTTCCGAAAAGCGCAGCATTAATTTTTTATTTTTTGTTATGTTTCCGATTCTCTTAAAGCTGTTCATTATAACTTAAATCCCACGTGCCTTCTTTTTTGCCGGTCTGCAAGTAATTAAGAATCTTTCGCAAATTTCGACACGTTTCATGAGATAGGTTACATAGTGTACGTTCGAGAGGCACAACGTTGTAGTGGGTGTTCGGAGTAGGGTCATTACCGTAACTTGAATTGTTCATTCGAGGAATTTGTTCTTTCTGGAATCTTAGCACAAACTATGTAATGATGAGCTAAGAGAGAGGTGAAACATGTCAAAAGACTCGTGTTGTACATATCGGCGGTAGAGCACATGAAGACGGGATTGAGGACGAAAGTCCCATAGGAAAGATACGGGATGTCTCACTAGTCGTTATTTTTTTAAGTGCTATTCATGGCCTAAAACACGTGCAAACCAGTAATAAAATATTAACTACAACAATCAAGATGGTATCATTGCCAATGCCCATCTCAGTTTCTATGTATTATTCATGAAAATGTAGGGAACTCTCGGTGTTCATTGCTGGTACGAAATGTCCCATTTCTGGTTAACAAAAACTTCCCAACAGATACTTCGTCCGGAACTCTCTTAAAGGGAATCAGTTGGTTCCGATCGGTTAGGTTCATCTCGAACTCCATAGCCCGCATGTCCGGAAAATGGCTGCTGCACACTACAATTGACCTCGTCCACCAAACATGGCCGCATGCGCACGTGTTTGCTCGACATTTGCAATCAGCGAACCCATCATCCTCGGGCTTACGCCAAACACCCCGATTTTCTGTTCGCTCGTTGGAACTTGACCCTTGACACGACCGGCTCACCCAGCAGGGTCGGACGCCTTTCCAATGCCTTTTGCTTCTGCCGGTCAAACCCGCCAATCGGCTGACGAACGAATCACCTACCCTCTCACCTTCAGAACCCTGTGTGTATGCACATCGCCAGCCGTATAAATTGCGCCATCTCCCCTGACCATGAATCAAGCGAAACGTGTCAGAGACCTCTCCGGCTTCATGCGGTGAGTGCAGAAAGACGAAAGGTTGTTGCACTTTCTAAACGCCTTGGTCTACATAAGTTCACCATTTTCTTCTGCTTTTCCTATCACAGATTCTTCCTATCGCTTCTCCTGCTCGCTCAAGTCGCCCTGACCCTTGGGGATGTCGTCAGCCTGCAAGAGAATCTGGCGGTTAGGACACCCAACGGCGGCAAACAACAGCCGTTCCATGGCAAGTGTCAGTCCTACGATGCCTACAGGTGCCGGTACTGTGGTGTGAAGAACCGGTTCAGGGAGTGTGAGGCTTGTCTCCTGACAGATGAGCTGCGCTGCTGTCTGCCAGCCTACAAAAGCCACGAGTGGCGCAAGACGGAGGCTCAGATGCATTGCAGGCAGTGGACGGCATAGTTGTGGCAGATGAATAAACACTCAATCTATCACAGATTAACTCCTTCCTTTTGCGGTAAAGACTTGTGGTTCATGTAGAACGATTGGGCGGATCAAGTGCATGGTGTTTGAAGCAGCCGAATTGCTTGGGATCAGAGGTATTCGGTTTCCGTAAGATTCTGCCTTTGCGAGTTGCGCCCAAGTTTTGCCGCTGTTACCTTTGTGCATGTTTGCATGAGGAAGTCATAGACGCGAGGGTATCGGGTTTTTCATAGGCGAGGATCCTATTTGCGTTGGCAGTCATTCTTTTGGCGTAAACTCTAACAGACTAAAATGTCCTCTTGGACATCTTTCAGAAAACCTACAAAGGCGACCCTGTGATGGCATTCTTTACTAGAGGTTTCACTAGTAAATATAGAAAACCTGGGAGAGTTAATCACTGCCTGGGGCTATTCAAAACAATATGCATTTCAGACTATGCGAAAAAGGGCATTAATAGGGTCGGTAAACATCTGGCAGATGAGACCGTGGCGCTGCTTCCCCTAAATCCTGAAGGGGACGTTTTTCTTTCAGCCATCATGGCCACCACTATCGTCATTATCACTGACAAGGTTATAAATCTTCCTGCAGCATGCAGGTTTGAGTTTGTTATGGTTTGATATAACGCATCCTTGCGGTTACGCGTAATCTGTTTTAACGTCCCCAGCTAAACTATGAAATCACTAACGCTGTTCCGCCTGTGAATGTAGAAGTGGAAAATAAGGTCAAAATGACCAGATAGGCAGTATTATGTGCTGGAAAATCAGCATTTTTTCATGAAAGTGTGGAAGTGTTTCGCGTGAACGTATTACCGCTCTGTCACAATGTCGACTGCTAAGTCGGTGGCGAATCTGTTGCATAACAGCGGAAGGCTTGATGGGATGTAAGGGGCATGCGGTGCCACCATTAGGTTTGTTACGCCCGTGCTAATTATGCGTCATGTCAATCGGATCTTTGTTTACAAGATGCCGTTTCCGTCTGACGCCGTGCACTTTGGAGATCATCCTAAGGTACCCGCAGTTTCCCGATTCCAACGTGCACCTTTCGCTTACTTGATATTATTCCAACGTATGGAAATCGTGGTTGAGGGCTGACCTCGAGTACTAAATACTGCAATCGGTCTGTCAGTACTTAGTGATCTTCCTGTTCTTATCAGTCGTATGTGCATTACTGTCAACACTCCCCAAACGTTTCACTAACAACATGCTGAATTACTGGAATGAAGATAAAATAGTACTAATTGTTCGAATTTTGGCATGAACTGACGGATCTCGTCGACTGAATTTGTGGGTTCGAATTCTGTTAGGGAAGACAACGCCCTATTCACTATGCCAAGGGAACCCGACGGTAAAGAAGAAAGTGGGAGCAGGAAGTTAACAGGAGGGTCAATGTGAAGACAAACAGGATTCTAATTATGATACAGGGGGGTGCGTAGGAATACAGGAGAAGCGGCTGATTTAGCTTTCCATTCGTTATGGCCATCCTGCATAGAAAAAAGTCCACCTTACCGTCCTTCGTTATTCTGCTCTTAAGCGGAGTCTGGTAGTAATCGTGACGTTCAAAGTGAAGTCACTACCGGCCGTGTGAACATTCGAAGGGCCAATCCCTCACATTTGTCGCTGGCAGTAATTTAACCTGGATTTACAATAACAGTGTAAATAAAGGCTTTTGCACTATGAAGGGAACATTTCTGGGGAATGCGCAGTCTTGTCCCTAAGCTGACTTCCTTCTCTGTACATTACTGACTAACTGCTTGGTCGATCTTAGTTCGAATTGCTAGAGGCAAGTATTGTTTACGCAGCTGATAGGGAATACGGTCGAATAACTGCAAATGATAGAAAATAAGAGGGCTTGTCACCGACGAAGCAGTGCTAATCCCTGCATGGTATTAACAAAGGACACAAATGACTTGGTACCCAGTGGACTGATAAGAAGGATGCAGGAGACTAAAATCACAATAAAACAAGCAAGATAACTCGGACATATCCGGGCGGTGGGTCCGCCTGATAACCTGCCTGTTGTATTAAAGACTACCAGCCAATAAAGCACACAAGTTTCTCTGGTGGATGACTAATCGCCAATCAGCAGCGACCATGCGATCGAGGAGCACGGTTGCGAATTCTAGCCAACTGCGAAGCCTAAAGACGATGACGACGACTTTAATCTGTGACCAAACATGGCTGTCTGCCACCGCTGCCTTGAAATTGGCTCCTATCAAATCAGAGCGTCGGTTGAGACGACCTACATCTACCTGTGCAGCTGTTTGGAGTTTGTCTGTGTTCAAAACGTCTCAAGAAATCTCATGCGTCCGGTGTTTTAAAACGCTACTGCATTCGAATTTACGATGTCCATAGGAACCGACGCCATCCTCTGCTCTGTTGCAGTGGCGCAGGAGAATACTTTGCGCGTTCGGCTGACCGACCGAGAACAGGCACTTAGTACAGATTGCCTCAAGTTAGGTTAGGTGCACATAGAACGCGCAGGTATCTAATCGTTTACCTGGCTCACGAGTTCTGAATCTTTTTAACCTCTCCAGAATAGCCTCACTTGCAAACGTATGTATTTCTAAGTGCAGACATAGTTGTCGAATAAATTAGTTTCGCTATGTCGCAATAAGTAGACGTTGTCATGGCAACCACCCTTTGTGCATGTCCGTGGTGGCCCTACGTCCTGTGTTCGCTGCAACACTGCGTCCCTGCTTGATGTAGACTTGCGCGTAGGCACAGCAGCAGTTATCAGACAGGCATTGGGCGACTGTGTACGAGGCTGTCATTGCGTCTCTCTGATTATTTGCGTCCCAAAGCTCTGCATGGCCTCCGGCCAAGCACACCCACCCGAGAGGCCCAGTAAACGATAAGGCTGGGTCTGACATGCCCTCATTCCGGGCAATACAGCATCAGATCTGACGGAGTTCACTCGAATCGTCAGGATGAAATCGCTGTAAGCGCGCCCCAATGAAGTCGACCGGTACCCATTTCTTCACAACCACTGGCATCCCCTCAACTGTCTCTCATCGTTAAACCCCTCTCTCCGCGTTATTATCGCTCCCCCGTAGATGTCGACAGCATTTTATGCCCCACTGACTTCTACGTAGGCACGACAGATGATTTGTATTCGCAACCCGACAATCCCCCTATATCGTCCGCTTTATTTTACATCCTCAGTCACTTTCCAATAAGAGCATGAATTTTACCTCTTTTCCCTAATATTCTCATCTGTTTGCGCCTGATGGCGTATTTGACAGCAGCTATGTTCTTCGTCTTAAATAACCCTGCATGAGTATTTTCCACCTAAAACGGGCCACTCGATCGACGCGCTGAACCAGCACAGGTGCTAGACCAGAGTCCGGCAGGCGTTATGGGGAATGCGCACCCATGACGATGTGGTGCCAGGCTCAGCTGTAGGCTCACGCCGCACCATCTGGGATCCGTGTCGCCCCCTGTTTTGCGTTGTGGCATGAAATCCTGGTTAGCGTACGCTGTGGACCAGGGAGTGTGGTGGTACTCCTAGGTGAGTATCCGGTCGTGCCAGCCACCTGCGCCCCTTACCCCTCCGGCCTTCTTGACTCTGTCTTGGCGCCGGGATCAGGTGAGGGAGGAGGAGGAGGGGAGGTGGCCGATGCTGTGCAAGTCCACTATCACTTTAACCTGACTCACGCGCAAGTCTCCGTCCCTGATCTCAGCCTCTTGTGGGGCACACGGTGGACGTCGACGGTCACGACGGTTGAACTGTTGCGTGTGTGTCCCCGTTACACACACATAGTAGTGCACGTATGCGAGGTAGCATCAGCGTGAACACGCACGCACACTAGGCCCGGCAACGGTAGTAGCCCAACACACAACGACAGTTGGACCGTCTTGACCGATGATGTCCACCGTGTGATCCACAGTAGGCGGAGAGTAGGAAAGGTGACTTGTGCGTGAATTAGTTTATAATAATAGTAGACTTGCACAGCACCTACCGAACCTTCTCCTCCTCCCCCACCTGCGCCCGGTGTCGAGACATTGTCAAGAAGACCGAAGGCGGGAGAGGGCGCAGGTGACTGTCGCGGTCGGACCCGCATCTAGACGTACCACCACACCCTCTGGTACACAACAAACACTTGACCAGGATTTCAACCGACAGCAAAAGAAACGGTTCAGAAAGAGGAGGATGACACAAGTCACTGGTCAACCATGCACATGGCCTGTGTACCCAGCGGGCACACAAGCACACCCATCGGCAAGGACCTAGGTGCCAGAGAACTGCCAACGCACACCAGGCTGCAAGGGACATGATTTCCTTAATTACGGCATAGCATACGCACACAATTCTTAAAGCCAAAGGGCAAGATGCAGCCCTGCATTTAGTCTGACCCATCATCCTTCAAAGGCTAGGCAAGCAATCAGCCATTGATTGAGAGGCATTACCCAAGTACACACACAATCCTCACACGCGTGAATGTCAGAGGTCACGTTAAGAAGGAGCCATTGAAGCCAGACTTTCAGCCCATCTGTCCGCCACTACGCACAAACACACAAGACTCAACTGACTGCTTGGACTGAGTTGAGGCGTCACTCGTCAATCTTCCAAACCACGCCATTTGGCGCACCGTGATAGTCTGAGGCCCGGGTCTTTCTTGAAGCAGAGTAGCCACATAGAGAAGGAGCCGAGGACCATACTTCCCAATTGCGTGTGAGGTGTCAATTCAGTGCCTGTGTTGAGTGGTAATGGGTGATTTTGACGTGTATTGCAGGTGCTGGTGGGCAGAGGTGTGATGCTGTGGTATGGCCGGCGAATGTCTACCGCAGGTTTTCGTGAATGCACGTGTGACGTTATCAGCCCATGCGGTGATTAAATGTGCAGGGGCAGTGAGGGCAACGGAGGCAGATAAACTGAATGCATGTGGGTCCGTCAGGCACTGGTTCGCCTGCATCTGTGCGACGGATTAGCAAGTGACCTGTCAGGCCGGTGTGTGAGGCCGATGCGATCGTAACGAGGAC